TGGGGTGGGGGGTGGGGGGAAATCAGAAGTCTACCTTCGATTGTGTAAATGAAGTACACATTTTGAACAAAGCCAAGGGAAATTTAAACTGTATTTGAATTATGCCCATTCTCCGTCAAATATCTATACATCCAGCATGAGTGAGGGACAAACAAACCTGAACAATTCACAACAGTTTCTGTCAGCTTGAGTTATGAAAGGAAGAGTATGGACAGACATTAATTTCTGTGGAAAGACATGAATAATTACAACCTGAAATTATCCGACCTTTTAGCTAAAAGTGGGACAAGTGACAGGAGTTTTGAGTAAGAGGAAAGATACTCACTCAGGCAATCGTTCTAGGTCCTTTAATCGTGATTCGTCAAAGAGTTAATTAGGCAAAAAAACTGCATTTCAGATTACTGACTTAATTGTTCTTATAATCTACTGGTTTTATTTGTCTTGAAACGTATGCACCAGAAATCAAAACTTCCTTCCATAACTAATTTAATTCCTTCACAAGGCGTAAGCACAAACTTTAAAATTCCAACATGTTCTGTTTCTGACTTTTGAACACCATAAGAAAGAAATTTCCTACACAGACCATGTCCTATCAGATGAGATATAGGACCATAAAGGATCAAGACTTCATTGATACTTCACAAATCCAAAAGGGTTCTGTGGTTAAATTAGTTAGCTAAGCAATGAATTTAATAATACTAACCTTTTGCAGATATTTCCTTCTTGGATACTTCCTGAATCCATAATTCTTATGAGTCTCTGCAATAATCCATTTAACTCTTCATTTATTTGGGTCATGCGAAGCGTGGACAGAGTAGTGGATAAAGATTCAACTACTTTCAGATGTCCGTCTCGGATTTCACTTCCTTCTTCCTTAGTATTCTCCGCAGCCATACTTTGTCTTGCATCATTTTCCATGTCTTCATCTGGTTCATCACTTTTCTTACTAAGTTTCTTATAAACTTCCTGTATTATCACCAGAACAGTTTTCAGAAACCTTTCTGTATCTTCTCTGAAGTCCTTGACTATAGTTTCCTGCTTAGCATTCCTTGGACTAGTACAACTTATTAATTCAGATGTCGTGGAAATCTCGTATTCAGACGCAGAACCATTTTCCTTCACACACGTCAAGAATTTTTGTGCTTCATCGAGCATATATTGTTGCAACCAAATCAAGCTGTCTATCATCGGATTCAGGTGTCTCTTCGGCGGACCCTCTTCAGTTACACGAGGCTCAGTTTCCTGCCTTTCCTTGCACTCCTGGGGCTTACTGGGTAGTTCAAACACAGACTTCAACACATCCATATCTTTTACAAATTCCTCAACTTGTTTATAGCCACTCACCAATGCTTCATACTGCGCACATGATATTAACATATGCGATGGTGTAGAGCTAGCGTCTCCAACTTTCGTGTCATACAGAGACGCCGGAATGGTTTCTGATTTTTCAATTGTATATTTGAGCTTTGATGCCGAAGTCACCAAGGATTTAACTTTATCGACTGCCATATTCCAAGTGAGATCGCCCTTTGTAGCTTTCACAATTGGCGGAAATTCCAAATCTCCGATAAATTCCAGGATCGGAATTTCCACACTAGAATTCATATTTTGCTCTTCACCAGAAGGACAACAATAAAGAAATATACGGAATTGCTCTAAGCAAATTACGCACGTCACCAGCAAATCCTTCAGTCTTACCTGTAACAATAAACAACATATTAATAAGAATA